ATTGGAAACTCCCTAGTCCACTCTTCACTGTTTAGTCCAAATTTTGATTGAAATTTTCAAACGGCTTTAATTTTTGCTGTTTGGCCTTTGGTGGTGTATTGGCAAGTATCACGCTTACCACGCGCGCATTTTAGTCCCCGTTGGCTAAGGCCCACTAACTAACTAAACCTTCTACCCCTTGTACATCAACTGGTTCCCTCAGGTCATTGTCAGGCCACATTGCATTCATGCTTTTATATGGTATGTGGCTTACTGCTCAGGACTGCCCTGACCACTGAGGCTACATTCATACTTTGTAGCAGCGACCACCAGCGTTTCGAGCGTCCATCAGCGCCAGCGACTAAGAAAGTGTAAGTATCGTTTTAGCGAACGCCAGTGTCCACCAGCGTCTACCAAAGACCACCAGCGTCCAGGAATATAGAGTGAGAAGTAGGAGGGTAGCTGACTGCTGGTAGAGTATGGGGAAGAAAGAGGGAGCAGACAGTCGGATTATGCGTCATGAAATTGCGACGTATGCAGTCGCACCATACTACTGCCGAAGCACAGCATTATGCAGTTTGATGTGGGGTGTTGTGTACGGTGCGGTTGCACACGCCGCAATGTCACGACGCCTAATCCAGCTGTCTGCTCCCTACTACTTCCCCATACTCTGCCAGCAGTCTGCCTCCTCCCTACTTCCTCATACTCTCCACTCCTCAACGCTGGTTGGCGCTGGCAGACGCTGATGGACTTTGTTGGGCGCTGAATTGATATCTGCTTTTTCCTAGTCGCTGGCGCTGATGGACGCTCGGACGCTGGCGCTCGCTGCTGCAGAGTATGAACGCAGCCCAAACACAAATGTGATTTGTAGAAGGCTATTTTTGGAGACGAAGATTTGTAGAAGAGGCTGATCCGCCCTGAATGCCAGTTTTGGCACTGCCCCTCCGCTGCTATGCGTACCTTAGGTTTTTGTGCCAAGCGAATTATTCTGTTGATGAGGTCAAACTGTACCTCTGAATTTTTGCCATAGCTACCTCCGGATGAGGAGGGGAGAGAATTCACCCCAAAACATGGCCTGAATTGCGGATAATGGGGCAGTGAAGGGTTAATAATGTCAAAAGTACTTGTTTCCGGTTATTTCGCAATCTTCCTTTTACCCGCCAGCGAAGCACGAGTTTTTATTGAAAAAAATATGGGTGATTTCATTTTTACGTAGAATGAGAGACAGAACCTCACACACGTTCATTTAAGAAATTTTCTTTCTTTCCAGGTACCCCCGTGACGCCTGAATCATTTCGAGCCTGGAAGGAAAGGTTTGATAAGGAACGGAGAGCGCTCGTTGAGAAGAAGGAAAAGGTGCGATTGATCTTTTCCTGTGTATCTTTATCTGAAGTCACGGTATATAACGAATATCAGTTAATATCGATTATTGCCGAGCAGTTTTTTTCTCGGAGCAACGATAGTCCTATTCACACGATCGTCTTCTCACACATCATTTTTTCTCCGATAAACAGCGATAAAGGTCATTATTGATTAATATTTATAGAACGGGCTGTTTATGTTGTCCAGGACGATCACAGTTATGTTTGCATTTGTAGTGATGTGACGGACAGCATCTGTGATTCACCGAGCCCATTCATACTCATCTTTCTTATCAATCTTGTATTCACACAGTCTTTTCTGTACAATCGGTCGGCGGGCGACGGTGAAGGGGGCATTTTGCACTTTCGCTGCTTTTCTAGTGCCGGTTTACAAGTCTCACTC